TCTTCTCAGTCCTTTCCTTAGGTGCTCTTTAGTAACCCTGAATCTACCTTTTAAACTTTCCTTCTTCTTCCCCCATCTTTTTTCATAACTGTAACTTTAAAATGTCGAATGAAGTAGAAATTGAGTCTCAAAACCAATCCTACCCCCGCATCTCACTCCACACAAGTCCATCAACTTCTAAAGATGTCCAACAAGTCTGTATGGTGGGGAAAATATTACCAGAAACAACCCTTAATAAGCAAGAAGTTACTAGGGTCCTTCAAGGTTCGTGGAAAACTGCTAAGGACTTCTTAATGACCCTTTGGGAAAAGAATACTTACATGTTTATGTTTAAAGACAAAGATGATAGAAATAAAATCTACAGAGAAGGTAAATGCTGGCAATTAAGAGGAAGGCCTAACCAGAGGAGGAGCCCACCGAAGGTCTTCAGCACAATAAGAAGGGAGAGGAGCTCTTCAATCTAGAACAGAGAATCAACTTAGCTTTCCAACTAGAACCTTCCCCAAACCAAAATTTTATAGCCATAAAAGGAACACAGTGGCCAAGGAATGGAAAGTGGAGCTCTGGTGGAGGAAGAAAGAGAAGAAATAGAGCACTGACACAATCAGAAATCTACTTTGTCTCACTAGCAGAACAAGAGGAGCAAGCGACATGGCTTTACAAGAAGAGCTAGGTGAGAATAATCTAAGTGTCTGTATGTCTCAGTGGGTTCTTCAAGTCCCAAATGTCTCTATTGAGAATATTGAGAATGATAAAAGTGATATGGATTTGGAAAGGGTGGTGGTGGCTGGCCTCGAACAGCTACAATACCCATGTTAATTTTGTCTTGGAACTGATGGGGAGTGGGACGATTCCAGACAGTTCGAAGTTTGTGAGGGTTAAACAATACCCATCGTCCCACGATAGTGTCTTCCTTATGGAGACAAGAAATGGAACACAAAAACGGGAGAGATTGAGAAGAAGAGCTTTAATTTCCCAAATGGTGAGGATATGGAACCAAGGGAACTGGCTGGTGGTTTGACATTATGGTGGAAGGATGAATTTAAGCTTCAAATTAATTTAAAAAATAAGAACATGATTAACGTATTGGGAAAGCTGCATAATCAAACACAAACTTGGCAAGACACATTCCTTTATGTTGACAATGACTTTTGATAGAAGACATAAAATCTGACAAGGATTGAAGAATCTTGTCTCTATCACCGAGGGGGCTTGGCTAGTAATAGGAGACTTCAATGTGATTGGCTCTGTATGGGAGAAGGAAGGAGGAAAAACAAGTAAGGTAAAGAAAGTGGAAGAATTACAAAGCCTAATTTCTAATTGTAATTTGATGGATGTGGATTTTAAAGTCCCAAAGTTCACTTGGTCAAATAACAGACTAGGGAATTCAAATGTGCAAGAAAGACTGGACGAAGTTTCAGTTAATCCAAATTGGAGTGTGAGCCACCCTTATATGCAAGTCATTCACGAAGCTAGAGTGGGATTTGACTACTACCCTATTATTATAAATATGGACCCAAATTTGAAGAAGAAATTAATCTCATTTAAGTTCAAAATCATGTGGATGGAAGATGAGAAGTGTGAAGAGATTATTAGAAAGAGCTGGGAGGAAAACTGGAATGGGTCTGCGATGTTTGCAATGACAAAAAGCTGAAAAAGTGCGGCAAGGAACTTAAAAAATTGGAGTTGACAAAGATTTGGCAATGATAGAAAGATCTTGACAGAACTAAACTCAGAATTATTCAATTTGCATATGGAAGAGGCATCAGAGGACAACCTAAGGAGGGAAATTGAGATATGCATTGAGATGGGCCGTATAAGAAGAAGGGAGGAACAATATTGGAAGCAAAGATCAAGGATTAGTTGGTTGAATCTGGGGATCAAAACGCAAAATTCTTTCACTTAACAACAATATAAAGGGCAAATAAATCAAATATTGAGGCTGAAAATAGAAGAAGCTATCTGGTTGGAGGAAGAGGACGAATTGAATGATCACATTGAACAATACTTTAAGATCATGTTTACTACAGTGGGTCAAAGGAATTTCAATGAGGTGGTGGGGTCAGTGGAATGTAGAGTGACAAAGGAGATGAACTTGCAGCTGCTAAGGTCAATCACTGATGAAGAAGTTTGGATAGTAGTTAAGCAACTTGGTTCCCTCAAGGCTCTTGGCCCAGATGGATTCTCAGGCATTTTCTTCTACAGCTATTGCCACATTGTTGGAGAAGATGTGAGTAAAGTTTTAAGGAATTTCTTTAATAGGGGACGCATGCTCAGGGAGTTAAACAAGACAAATATTGTTCTCATACCAAAGGAAGCTACGCCTGAAACAATAACTCAGTTTAGGCCTATCGCGTTATGTAACTTCATATACAAGATAATCTCAAAGGTGTTGGGCAACAGAATGAAAGGTATAATGTCTTCTATAATTTCACCAAAACAAATTGCCTTTGTTTGTAATAGCAGATTCAAGATAGTATCATCATTGCTAATGAGGTGCTCCATCATATGAAGTTGAAGAAGAAAGGCAATGTTCAAGATTTGACAATCAAAATGGATATTAGTAAGGCATATGACAGAATTAAATGGGATTTTCTTGAGGTTATGATGCTTAAATTGGGGTTTAATCAACGTTGGGTTCAGCTTATCATTCAATGTGTTAGTACAATAAGCTTCTAGATGGTCATTAATGGGAAAAAAAAAGTGTGCAGTCCATCCGCAAAGAGGGATTCGACAAGGGGACCCCATCTCCCCACACCTTTTCATTTTGGTTGTAGATGTTCTGTTTCTAAAGCTGCGAAAGGGGGGTGGAGGAATGAAAATTTCTGGGAATTAAAGTTCGAAGAGGAAGCCCAACTATCTCTCACTTGTTTTTTGTAGACGACTCCTCTTTCTTTGTTAGAGCAAGAGAGCAAGGAATTCTAAATGTTATGAATATTCTGGACAAGTATTGTACAACATCTGGACAATGCTTGAATCAACAAAACTCTGGAATTCTATTTTCTGCAAACGCCATGATGGAGTAGAAGAATTTCTTTAGCCAACTTCTAGGTTTGTAGCCCTTGACTCGGTGGACAAAATATTTGGGATTGCCCATCCTTGGTGGAAGATCTAAGAGTGAGTTGTTTGAATATCTTTTGGAGATAATCTTGAAGAAACTACAAGGGTGGAAGAGACTGTTACTAACATAGGCTGGTAAGGAGATTTTGATTAAGAGAGTTGTTCAAGCGATCCCAAATTATGCAATGCCCATTGTAGCTCTTTCCAAGAATTTTTGTGAAAAGATCAACAGATATGTGAGGAATTTCTGGTGGTGAGGAGGAGGAGGAGGAGAAAAGAGAGGCATTAGTTGGAAGCGATGGGATAAGATGGTGGAAGCAAAAGCACGAGGGGGAATGAGATTCATAGACTTTTTTTTGTTCAACCAGGCATTTCTTGCAAAACAATGCTGGAGAATAATTTAGAATCTCAACTCCTTTTGGGTAAGGTTTTTAAAATCAATTTACTTTCCAGGAGATGATTTTATGAAGGCAAAAAAGGGGGCGAGACCTTCATGGGTCTGGTCTAGTTTGATCAAGGGAAGGGAGCTCCTAGAAAAGGGTCTCGTATAACAAGTCTTGGAAGGAAAGGATGTCAAAATCTAGGAGGACATGTGGATTCCCCAGTTAGAAAATGGTTCAATTTTGTCTCCCAGATCGCATGACTGTGATATTCTCTGGGTTAACCAACTCCTCTCCCAACCATCAAGAGATTGGAACGCTAGGCTAATAAGAGGACTCTTCAATGAGGAGGAGAGCAAGGCCATTACGGCTATCCCAATCCCAAATATCCAAGTTGAGGATAGGAGAATATGGAAACTGAACCTTTGTGGATGTTATACTGTAAGTTCAGGTTACTCACTTGCTTTAAATCTCAATCCCCCCACAAATCTGGATGTTAGCTCTTCTTTTTCACCTCACCCGAAAATTTGGTTTGTTTTTTTGCATATGAAATCGATCTTGAAGGTCAAGCATTTTTGGTGAAAAATTTGTAATAACGCCTTAGCCTCTCGGGAAAACTTATTTAACAGAAAGTGTGCTGAATCACCATGGTGCCTAATTTGCCGCGATAAAATTGAATTTATTGAACATATCCTTTTTGATTACGAATGGACCCAAAAAGGTATAGTTCGGATCTAAGCTAGGCTTGAGGATTGAGCTGGGACCACAACGGGCCGAATTAAAGTGGGTTTCGTCCTTGCTGGATACTATCAAGGATAGCTCTTAGTCACTAGAGATCATGGGGAGAGTGACAAAAACTGCCTGGGCTATCTGGAATATAAGAAATCAATTCATGTTCAAGCAAGAAGACCCAAATGCCTTAGCCACGATGTTGAGAGCACAAAATTTGTGGAGCGAGGTGAATTCAATTGGTAAGGATAGGCAAGGAGGTCAGCGGGATAAGGTATGTCAACAACACGATCAAACTCCAAGCCGATTCCGAGATCTTAAGTTGAATTGTGATGGATCTTTCAAGCGGGGAGAAGTTGCTATAGGGGTGATTCTGAGGGATTCTAACGAGATTGTACTGGAGGGTATTGCAAAACGTATCCTTGCGGTCTCCAGCTTGTACTCCAAAGCTACTGCAGTCAGAGAAGCATGTCTCCTTGCATTTTCATCAGAGCTCCAACAGGCGACCATCAGGCGACCATCCAAAGCGACAACATGGAGATAGTTAAGATGAGCTCATCTGAAGGAGTTTCCCCTCGGGAAATTAGTTCTTTTGTTGATGATATTAGGCATTTTTCTAGAGTCCTAAATTTATGGTTTTTACACAAGCCAAGAGCTCTTAATATAGTAGCTCATTGGGTTGTAACACACTTTATCTAAGTCGATTCCACTGAGTTGGGTTAGCTGCCCCCTGCCCGAGCTTAATTCTTTAATGTCGTCTGATTGTAACCAACATTTTTCTATGTAAATGAAATTCTTGAATGCCTTCGTATAAAAAAAAAAATTAGAAACATGCATGATGTATTAATTGTCCTAATTTTTTTAGGACAATTAGCTTTCAGAATGTGTAGGACAATTAATTCGGGTGTTCTTAAAATTGCTAACCATACAGTTATACTATTAATTCTAGCTTCTTGAGAGAGTGCTTGAAGAATCTGGTGATGATCTGGATTCAGCTATCAGGAGTCTTAATGAGCTATGCTTGGGGTCTGCTGAGAACCTGGGCTATGCTGCAGCCAAATCTGCTGCTACACCGGAAGCAAATGTTCAATTCTCAACTTCAGGTACAAGTTGAAAATGTATTGAAGTAAAGCTCGACATTCCTCTTTTTGGGTTTTTCCCCCTCCCCCTTGGATACATGCGTACTCTGTGTTGCAGTTAATACTTCCTCCACCTCACATTAGGCATCCAATTTGAAATTGGGAGAGTTAAATATTCTGACAGCATTTTATAGATTTTTCAGGAAAGTCAGTTTTCTTAAGATTTTCTGACCATAATCGGCAGTTATTTTGTATGACTGCAGAATCATAAAATTAGGAATGATTATTACTCCAGAAATAGCACCCAATGCAGTGGCCTTACTTTTCTACTTTAGAATTTCACATTGTTAATTGCTTTGAGCTTTGCTCATCTCCTTCATCCCCCAATTTCTAATCAGAATGGATTCATACTTGGGCCCTTTTCTTCACACCTTGGGTTAGGAATAGAGTCCTTTTGATTGCCTCTTTGATGGGTGGTGCATTGTGATTAATGGCCTATGTCATAGTTGATCTACTTGCTTCAATGAAGGCAACCGTATTTGGTGGCAAAAGGAGAGTGGGCTCATATTATTAAGATTTGTAGGGGAAATTTTAAACCAAAAGGTGCTAACAGGCGCAGAAATTGGATGATTTTATGTGCAAACCTGATTCTGGGACTTTTATGATCAGGACTGAAGTAGAAACTGAGAGAAACTGTGACCTTTTCCTGGCCTCACACGAATAGCTGCAACAGAGGGATTGGGGAGGCTCTGTGGGGTCAAATCCATAAAAAGCTAGCCTCCAAATATGGAGCCCTAGCTGGTTTAAGTGCTTTATTCTTGCCCTGCGCAGATTTGTCAATTGAGCGGAACAGTGGCTTGTGCTAGCCTTGCGCTAATGGCAGCGATCTAAGGATTGATAGGTACAGAGGGTTTAATACTCAAAACCATAGCCTCCAAATCTTGAAAATCCTAGCTGGTTTAAGAACTGTAGCTCGCTGCAAGTATTCTCTTTTTAAACTCTTTCAAAACTGCTGGAGAAGAAACCTTGGCCTTCTATTTTATACTAACCCCAAAGCTTCTAAAGAAAGCCGCTAAAGTGCTCTGCATATCAACCGTCAGAACTACATAATTCCTTAACACCCCGACCACGTCGGTTGTTACAACCACACCAAAGATACCATATGGTTTAGCTAGTGTAGGTCTGAAATGATTAATACCCTTAACTAGATTTTTTACAATTGTCTCTCTAAAGGCACACATGCTTATTATCCTGTATACACATACACAAGATGTGCATCGATAATTGGTGGAACTAACTGAGAGAATTGTGCTTAGCCTCTATTTCCATCTATCACATGACCATAAAGTTTGAATCATTAATTTTATGTTGGAAACAATGTTAGTTGGGACAAAGCTTTGCTGAGTAGTTGTAATGGTTCGACTTGAAAAACGTGAGGGAATGTAAGCTTAAATGTTGAAGGGTAGGTTTCTCATATTTATGTTGCAGATATTTTGACGAGCAATGGTGATGCTCCAGCAGCTGAGGATCCATTGCATTCACAAGACCTCCCCGTGGATGGAGCAGACTGGGTGGAACTCCTTGTCAGAGAAATGATGAGTTCCTCCAATATGGATGATGCCAGAGCCCGGGCCTCCAGAGTGCTTGTGGTGTTGGAGAAGTCCATTTGTGCACGTGCAACAATAGATGCAGCCAAGAGCTTCCAGCAGGTGGTTATGCAATATGCAATAATGCTTTTCTTTTTGTTTTGAACATGAACCCCATATAATACAGCTTGTATCACTATTAGTGCTTAAAATGTATTTATTTCTAGCAAGGAGCTTCTTTATGAATGCCTTTTTTATTTCTTGTCATTCTTTTGGTTTTGGGAATGAGGAGCACTGTTTGCAATGACCACTGATTTATGTTCCTGATGTTTTGTTCTATGCCCATACTTGCGTTTGGCATGTTTCAGGAGAATATCCTGCTAAAGCAACAACTTGAAGTGCTGATCCAGGAGAATACTGTTCTAAAGCGAGCAGTCTCTATTCAACATGAGCGACAGAAGGAATTTGAGGATAGGGGCCAGGAAGTGCATCACCTGAAGCAGCTGGTGACTCAGTATCAGGAGCAGTTGAGAACTCTTGAGGTCATTTTACAACCAAGCTCAAAAGTGTCTGAAAGTTTATGTGATTTATTGTTTGTGTGGAATTCAAATGCACATGCAAGTTCCTGTTCTGCATTGTTTGTTATCGAAAATAATTAAATTAATTAAAAAACTGGTAAATTTGCTGCTGAAAAGATGGTTTCCTCCAGAAGCGCATCTAATGGTCAAGACAAAAGATTAATTAAGAAGGGGTTAAAGCCCATATTTTGTTGTAGAACTGAAAAGTTGTCCTAACTATTAAATTTCTATCAATTAACAAAGCTTTTAGGGACTTGATGTTCAAACTAGTATGTCTAGTTAAACATGTTAATAAAATTTTTCACAGTAATACATTTTGTATCAATGAACTTATATACTTTTGATGTGCATCAGGTCAACAACTATGCTCTTTCAATGCACCTCAAGCAGGCTCAGCAAAGCAACTCCATCCCTGGCCATTTCCATCCCGATGTCTTTTAGTTATGAATTGCAGATTTGGTTGTATGAATGTGTACCGTACTGACTGTTGAGTATGACCTAAAACAGTCCTAATAATGACTCCTTAAAAGATGCTTATGGCATTTGGGCAAGGGCGAGCATGCACTCTCTGCTTTTGTGCCCGAAGAGTAACCCAAGTTGACAGACTATAAAATCATTTTTTCTGCCTTTTGCTGTTTTAATTTGAATTGAAATAGGTACTCGTAAATGCTGGAATGCCTTTTTGAAGATAGAAGACAACTTGTGATTGTTTGTGTTTCCTGAATTGTAAGTTATTTGGTGTTGGAGTTCCACTGTCACTGTGATCCTACTCTGAAAATATCTGCCCAGCTTATATGGGTATTTGATGAGGAATGTAAGAGCCATAATACTACAGTTGTGATATTGATGGTAGTTATGGTGCTGTGTGGTGAATAGTTGTTTCTGGTGAGGTTTATTGGGTTTTGGATTTCCACTGATTATGGCTAATTGCAATGGTGATGGTTTAGATGGTTATCGTAGTAGGTGATGAGTGGTGGGTGATCTTGGGGTGAAAAAAAAGGTGGTGGTGGTGGTGGCTATTTTTTAGAAAGGAAGTGAGATCTCAGCCATAAATTGTAGATAGAAAAACAGCAAGCAGATATTGTAAGGTTAGATCAGAATATCTTGAAGATAAGTGAAAGTTTGAGTTTAAATTCAATATTCACTTAGCAGGTGGCGATACACCCGTCTTCCCAGATCCACTGTTGGTTGGATGGTCCAGGGGTTGATGTGAGCATAAACTTTTTTGGACTCTGCCACAATCACATTTGCTTAGAATTTTTGCTAAGAGTGTTAGCTTGGCAATTGCTGTCTTTGAAGACTACACATATATATACATTTATATATAATGCAGGGACATTATACATTTGTGAATACACAAAAAGGAAAATGAGTCTATATCTTGGTTGGAATTTACAATTTTCAAACTTGACGTAGTCAAAGTCTCTCCCTGCTCACCAAATTCACGACTTTGTCATCTCCTACATCAGAGGTTGAAAGAACACTCAAGGACGAATGGTTTCTTGGTAATAGCTTGTTTGTATGTTACTCATCCGAGAAGTTGCAATTTCGAGTCCGAAAATCAGTCTCCCCTAATTGAGTGTAGAATTGCATACCACGAATCTCCCATATCCCGGCTAGGATAACCAAATAGGTGTAAATCACACACACAATGCTGACCAAAAATCATCTGTATAATCTAGAAGGTTTTAAAACAGGTCTAAAGACAAGAAAGAGATGAGAGAGACTTGAAAACTGAAACAGAGCCTTGGTTGAAACTTGAGAGAGAGAGAGAGAGAGAGAGAGAGAGAGAGACTTAGGAAATTGAAACAAGCCTTCCACCAGCTTTCATCATCGTCTTAAACTCATCCAAATTAACCATACCATCTCCATCCAAATCAACCTTCCTAATCATCTCTTTGCAATCTTCCAACTTCTTCCCTTCCTTAAACCCCAAAGAAGACAGCACCAAACCCAACTCTTCCACTGTAATCAACCCATCTCCATCTCCATCAAAAACATCAAAAGCCTCCTTCAAATACCCCTCTCCTCCTCCCTCATCTTCACTTCTCTCTTTCTCTCTCCTCCCCTCCAAATCTCCAAACAACTCACAGAACTCGTCAAGATCAATCAACCCATCCCCATTAGAATCAACCTTTTCGATCATACCAACAACCTCTCTCTCCTCCATAAAAATTCCAATGTTCTTCAGTGACTCTCTGAGCTCTTGCTTTGTTATGTACCCATCGTTGTTCTTGTCAAAGGTGGCAAAAACACTTCTGATCTCAGCTTTATTATGAATATTATCACTCTTCACCTTCTTCTCCGCCATGGAAGAGTTTGAGACCACCACCTGTGGAGGAGCTTTGACATAGAAAGATTCAAACCAGGACTTGATTTTCTTTGTGGGTAAGTTGAAAATCGTATTGATGAGGCCAACAATGAAGAGAAGTGCTAGAAACAGTAAGGATATGACCATCTTCTTCTTTTAATTCAATGCAACAGAGAATAAAAATAAGAGGTAGAAGAAGAACCAAGACACATTCAGACTCTGGTCCCTTTAATAAAAAGAATAGTTTTGGGAGCATTGAAGAAGATTACGCGTTGTTTGGTGTGTACCTTTTTTTTTCTTTTTCTTTTTCTTTTTTTTTCGTGGTGGAGAATTTGATCCCACAAAACGCGTAACCGGAATAACTGTTAAAGAAATGGTTGACGAATGGAGGCGCAAATGTTTTCATGCTGCTGATAATGATTGTGACACTTGTAAAACCTGGTTTGGGGATAATATTATTCAAATAATATGAGAAAAAAAAACTATTGTTGAATATTATTGCCTAATATTTGATATTAAAAGATGGGTAGATTGGATGGCAGGACTTAGTCATTGATATTCTGATGTGCTAAGTTTGAGTCTTGTAAAAGGCTCTTTCATTTTCGAGACGGGCTTGGTTTCGAGAGATCTTGAACATGTTCAAAACTTGTGTGACAATCTTAAGTCTAAATATTTAATGATTAAGCAGTGATAAATACTACAAAATATGAGGTATTTGGAGTTATAAATACAAACAAGAATTCTTGGTTTTCTTGCCACTAGTGGAGTGACACATAATTGGGGTTCAATCTTATTATATATGGTCATAATTGGGATTAAATTTCTACTATCAATCAATTTTGAAATATCTCAATAGAGTTTATATAAATTTCTAGTATATTTGGATTCATTTTTACTGCTATTTTTTTTTCATCATTTTCAATGTTAGGTATGGTTTTGAAGTATGAAAAATTCATGCACTCATGGGTAATAAACCTTTGAAACTAACATTACATAAAACACTCCTAGCCGGCAACATGAAGAATGATGCTGCATTGCACCATATAACACTTCTTCATTTGGCCACCGCCCAACAAAGCTCCAATCATGACCTTCACATTTTCCACATATAAAAAAAAGACCCAATGATTTTGGAGCCGTACAACCGTGACACACACCCACCGACCTGGCTTGTGAGTGTATTATAGATTTGTCTAAAGCATTTGTCAACAACTTTGCTTTAAATTTAAGGTTCGAAAATTGATACTATCTCGAGTTCTAAAGTTAAAGTCTCTGAGTTCAACTATATAATTTACGGATAATTGTGTTCATCTAAAATTTATAGTAATCGTAATGAAAAAAAAATGCGTGAACTCTTCACCATAAAAAAAAAATGTTAATTTGCCAAATGAATATTCCTACTAGTATATTTAACTACAAGGCATGTGACAAATAATATAACTAGTGTGCCACAACGCCCCTATTCCGTGATGCGTTAACCGCGTATTACCTAGCATCGGATACTTTCCTTAGCTTTTATCTTTTATGGCATAAAGTCAAAAGCTTCCATATGCTTCGTTGTGCTTGCGTGTGCTTGTAAGCACTTGAATATTAATTATGTAATATTTATATTTTAAATAATAATTTAATTTTTATAATAAAAAATAATAATTTATTTTTTAATTAAATAATTTAAAATTTAGTGGATGTAGACAAAAAAAAAAGGGAGAGAGAAGAGATAGAGAGGTAGTGTTGGTTAGTGGGATGGACTTGACTACGTACGGAAGTAATAATTTTGATACTATACCTTTAATTTTTATAATTTTAATAGGTGTTTTTATAATTTTTGTGGGTTATTTTATAATTTAAAAATTTATCATTTTTATGAATAATTTATCACTTTTATGAGGTATTTTTATTATTATTGTGAGTGTTTTTACCATATTTATGATAACTATTTTTATCATATTTATGAATATTTTTATTATTATTATGATAACTATTTTTATAATTTTTTAGGGTACCACAACAGTGCTAAAAAAAACCCCACAAATATGATAAAAAGAACCACAAATATGGTTAAATGGAGATATGGTATTGATTTTTTTTTCTATACCGTAGTCAACTCCCGGTGGGATTGTCTGATATTAAAGAGTAAGTTGGTTAAGTTATTTAAAATTAAGGGTCACCCAATACGTGTTTTAGTACGATCAGCATTTTGATACAATACCTTTACCTTTTGAATTTATGGAAATTTTTGAGTAGGCACCTTATAAATTATTTAATTGTGAGAAAATATTTTGTAGATAAATATGTTTGACTTGAAATGTATTGTAGTTAAGTATTCATTGATAGATTTTCAAATATTTTTTTCACAAAAATACCATTTTTCTTATTTGAATGCCTGTTAGTTTGACAGCCTCATTTTNCAGATTTTTAAATATTTTTTTCACAAAAAGACCATTTTTCTTATTTGAATGCCAGTTAGTTTGACAGTCTCATTTTTTTATGAGATTTAATTTATTATATTAATAGTTTTATATTTTAAGGGATTGAGCATATTTGAAATTCAAAATTATATCACATGGAATATATCTTTGTGGCTTGGCCCAGATTTTGAAATTTATTTTTTTATATTATTTTTTAATATTAAATGGCTCTGGTTGTTTTCAAATCTAATAACAGCGTTACTTTGCAATTTTATACTGTGATGTAACATTGTCATTCATTAAAAGCAATATATATGGATGTCACATTTGCGATGTTATATTATGTGATTTATACTATGTAGATTGTGTATGAATCAGTGAATGTAATTTCACAATTTTTTTGTCATTGATTAAAGTGTTAATGAAGGTTTTACACTGTCATATATCACTATAATGTCACATTATCAATACTATGAATTGAAACATAAAAAAAATCGGTCTTCAATGGTGCTTCAAAGTTTATATTTTTTTTTTAAGTTAAAAATTGAAAGATAATGTAGCAGATTTTGTTTTTTTTTTTAAATTTAAAAATCCATGTTTTGAGGATATAACAGTTATCAAATTTAATAGAATTGTTGCATAATTTATGGTAGCTTTCTTATCCACTCTTTGCACCAGGTAATTTTTACCTTGTGAGTATTTTTGTCATTAAAAAGTATTTTTATACAAAATATTTTATACTAAATATTTTTTTATAATTAAGTGATAAATTAAATACCGACTCACAAAAAAACCCTTAAATTTACATTCCCGAAACACAACCCTAGGGCCGGGTATCACAATACATCTTAAGCCTATTTACATCGTGGCCTTGCATTCACCATCACAAATTTTCGGCCCAACCCATTAGGCTGATCACATGATGCGAGATTGTATTCTCCGCCAAAATTCTCATTTTATTTCCAACTTGGCGCGGGGCCTCTCATGTGAGGTCAGATCAGATCAGGTGATGGTCAACAATTCAGGCAAAAAATGTTGTGAAGCGACTAATGATGCAATAGCTCTTTGCCCTTTATACGTTCTAAAAAACAAAAGGTATTTCGGATTTTTGGACCCTATGTTGAGTAAGGGCTCCAAATCCTCCAAAGAAAAAAGTTGAAATACCAAACATCGTCTTGCTAGTGTTTGTGATTTGGAAGATGTCATTGAAACAAATTGAAAATTTTCAATTTTTTTCTGATAAGAAACGATAGATATTTTCATTAATTCACACAACAATTTGCAAGATTTAGAGAAGAAATCAAAAATTCAAGAGCACTGCCTCTCCAAATTACAGGATCTATACAATTAAACGCAAATTTGGCCAAGACATGGGCTACTTCATCGTTGGACAGACGAATCCATGAGAACAAAATTTTAGAGAAATCCTTAGCATAGTCCTGAATTAAATCGATAAAAGACCTAACATGAGAGAGATTTCTTTGTGTTTGTCCAATAGCTTCAATAATATTCTAGAATCTTCCCATACCTTAACAGAGTAAGAACATTCTAATTTTTATTTATCGATCGAAATTTTGAAGTTGAAAATTTTCGTTTAAGACGTATAAATTTCTACATTTTCAAATAAGTAATAACCCAATGAAAATAATNATTTTGAAGTTGAAAGTTTTAGTTTAAGACGTATAAATTTCTACATTTTCAAATAAGTAATAACCCAATGAAAATAATTCAAAAATATATATGCCAAGATGCAAACTTAGCCATGATTATGCCAAATGCATCTAGCTCAGTGCATGGACCTTGAGAGGCACGAATAAAAGATGAAAATGTGAATGCAAAAATGTTTTTTTTTTCCCCTTATTGCATATGCTTTTAATGGCAAGTTAATTTAATCTAATCTTCTCAGCACGTTCGATTAATGGGCACTAAACTGAATAAAGACACATTCTAAATCATTTTAATGGGCAAAATGTAGATTACTATAAAGGAGAAAAAGTATTCTTGAATTTAGATGGNGTTCGATTAATGGGCACTAAACTGAATAAAGACACATTCTAAATCATTTTAATGGGCAAAATGTAGATTACTATAAAGGAGAAAAAGTATTCTTGAATTTAGATGGACAGTTCTATCAAATGTTGGTGCAACAAAATGTTTTGTTGTGAAGTTACGCCCAATAAACCGAAAGCCTAACCCAATCAATTTCTATTGATCAAAAGATGGGTATCATTGGATTAGTCCTTAAAATTTGGACGTTACATGTTCGGATTTGAGAACAATCATTTTTTGTGAATTTTGCAAAAGCATTTGTGTGTACACAATCCGCACCCTCTTAGATCTCCATTAATAGAGGTTAAATTGGATATTATTTTCAANTCATTTTTTGTGAATTTTGCAAAAGCATTTGTGTGTACACAATCCGCACCCTCTTAGATCTCCATTAATAGAGGTTAAATTGGATATTATTTTCAACCAAAACGAGAGTACCATGTGGAAATTACCATAGAAAATTCGGATCCGTCAATCAAAACCCCAAGATTTTTAAGAGTAAGATGGGTATGGAGGGGCTTGTTTGGATAAATTTTGGAAATGAGTTTGGATTGACTTTTTCAAATCCTTCCACATTCAAACACCTATTTACAAAGATGAGATTAAACATTCAATCCGATTCATACTCATGTTTGGAATGCAACGCATATACATGTAGGATCTATGGATATATCGTAATTATTAATAATT